GGGGGGGGGGGGACAGAGGGACCACTTTTTGACGAAAATGAGCCAAATACTTCCTTTGGCTGCCAGCGCAGTGGGCAGCAAGCTGCAATTTCTGAGAAATAACGGCCGCCGTCCCAAGTCACTTCTAGAAGCCACAGGCTGCTTGGGACAGCCGAGCGCAGGCCCGGTACCTGCCCGTGGTTTCTGATGTTTGTATTGCCGTGTCTCGCCTTTACTCAGAAGGCACCCCGCACCGAGCCGTGGGTGCCCCACACCCCACCCACTGATGCTCCAGAGATGCACGAGGAGACCACTTCTTGGTGACAGGGGGCTCACGATACTGCGTTTCCAAGGGTCTGGCAGCTGAACCTAATTACTCCAGGGCCATCTGTCCTTCAGCTCTGTGCCATGGGGCCTGGGCCAGCAGGGACCATGCAAGGCCTAGGTTCGGATCTCTCTTCGGGGTGCTCTGAGGTCAAGGTCTGGTTGTCCCGCCAGCCCCCATGTCTGTAGCCTGAACAGGGCAGGGTGGGAGGCCTCAGCCGGGGGTCTCCTGGGCTAGCACGGCACACCAGATGGCCCCTCCAGAGGCATGGGACCACAAAGGCCCCCCCGCTGGTACTGCCGAGTGCCACAGGCTAGCAAAGAAGAGGCGAGTGGCTGGGGGGGCCAGGCGGCAGAGACGGGAGCCCAGGGAGGAAACTGAGGCAGGCTCCACACTGGCTTTCCCGAAGAGCCCAGCACTCCCCGAGGCCTGCCTCAACCAGGGAAACAACAAACGTCCTGTCTGTGTGATCAGCAGACAACGCAGAGGCCCCAGCGGGCCAGGTGACTTTGACACCACCTGCTGCTTGCGAATGTTCATTCTTATTTTATTAATTTGGTCCAAACAGACAAACTTTGTTAGGTTTTGAGAATGTGCTAAAAGTGCCGTCCTTGATTTCTTTTCCCCCTAAAGGGCTCCTGGAGTAAACCTGGTGCCTCTTCTTCTTCCGACCCCGGCAGGAGGCCTGAGCCCCGCCCTCAGAGCATCTGGGTCCCTGCACTGGCTCTCACACAGGAAGCTGCTCTGGGAGCAAGAGAGCCCATCAAATCTCAGCTCTTGCAAGTCCTCGGGGACAAAGACATTCTGAAGACCGACGCTTTCTTGGTAACTAAGGATCTGTCCCCTTTAAAGCGGCCAAACCGTCTCGCCGTTTGCGGAGAATCGTTTTTGAACTCCGTGTCTCCTGATGCGCGTAGAGCCCTCCCACGGCGACGGTCCCGCTGCCGATGGCTCGGGACGGGGGAACCTGCCTGGCCACATCACGGACCTCGTGCCGGCGAGGCTCATCCCTTCGCTGCCCACGACACTAGCACCCCGCTTCTCAGACGGGCACGCGGAGGAGCAGAGGTCAGCTGGCAGGTGGGGCCAAAAGCCGGAGTCGCCCGGACCACCCCGGCATTCTGTTTCCTGAGGCTGCGCCCGTTTTGAGAGTTTCGCGGTCTTCTTTTCTCCGTGCCAGGCCATCAGTGGCTCCTGTGTCTGTCTGCAACAGTCCGTCCTCGTGGCATCCACTCAAGGTGTTGGAAGATGGGCAAAGCGACCCTCAGGTTCACACAGAGCAACTGGGGTGCCGCTGGGCAGGCAGAAAAGACTTCGTGGACCGTAGGTGGGAAGGGTCAAGAGCGAAGACATTACACAGGCAGAAGGCACAGGCTCTGACGTCTCTTTCAGCTGCTTTGAGCGGTCTCAGCTGACCTACTGGCTCTCAGCCGGGCTCCGAGAGGCGTGACCGCCAACCGGCTGAGGTTCAGAGCACAGAGAGTTTATGACCGGGCGGTGGCAGAGCCCTGTGTCACCAGCCACCCCCTGCCCCACCCCCACCCCACAGTCCCAGGGACAGAAGGACACTAGTAAGAGCCGCGTGTCACGTGACCAGTCCCTTCGAGGGGCCAGTGTGATCCCTACGCTGCCATCAGCACCATGGAGCCCTGCATGAGACCGGCGGGTCCCCAGGCAAGGTCCAGGAGCCCGTGGGGGTCCACAGACCCTTCTGGGGGTCTGCCACGTCAAAGCCACGTTTATATTTACATGAGACCTTATGTAAGTGCCTCTTTCAGGCTCACTCTTTCAAAAGCCCATGATGGAGCTTTCCAGAAGCTGTAGGACGTACGAGATCGGCACTCTGATGGACAACTGGATGTATATTTGCATCGCCTCGTGTTTTAACAAGTTCTCGGCTTGAATTTCTAACCCAGCAAATGCCGATACATGCAGCCAGCACGGTATAGTCGAACAGGGGTTCTGGGGCCTGTGACAATTTCTGGGAACGTGAAGAGCACAAGAAAAGTCACTAACGGGGCCCCAAGGGGGCTGGGTGTGACAGAACACATCCGGAGGCTATGAGGATCAACAGGAAGCTGGTGTGGCCACCTACACTCGAGGTGACCCGAAAGTGAAGCAG